TATATATATATACAAGTTATTGGGTACTGCTACCTACGTTGGCCACTGAAATAGGTTTTATGGAACGTAAATGATGCTGACATTACCAACTTATCAGGGCTTAGTTTAGATTGCATTTAAAAACAAGAGAAGCCTAGATAATTGCAAAAAGAGAAACTATCCCCAAACATTAATATTCTTATTGCATATTGCTTTAATTGCTCTGAGGTTGCTGTCTTGGAGTTACCTCGTAATTGATCTTGTTGCACTCGATGACACTAATTCATGATCGTTAATTAGCTTGGTAATTCGGCGAACAAAAAAAAGAGCTAGTTGGAAAATGTGAGAGTAATTCAAAATTGTAGTAATTACTAAAGTTATTAAAATCATCTTGAATTATAATTTTGTTAAAATAATATTATTTTAATTTTTTAAAAATCAAACTAGATTTCAACAGGATTATGAGCTAATCAGCTGAATTATCTAGTTTTAAATGGGTTAACTCTTACTTTCTTTTTTCTTTTTTGTAATTTGACTTGTGCTGATCCTAGATAAATTAATTTGTTAGAATAGGTTTGATAATAATTAGAGTTATACTTTGAAGTTGAGCTAGAATATTTTTTTTATTGAAATTAAAAACAAATTTTTGATGTAATCTTTGATGATAAACAATTAGAGTATTCCTTCTTGAAACATCTATATGTGAATAAAGGTGATGTACCATTTTGTTGATATCCAGCTCCGAATTAATGATGAATATCCCTCAATATGTTCCCAAATGTTTCCCCTTTTTAATTAGCATGCATCTACCATTTACAGTTCATTCTTTGTTGTCAACTACTATGTTCTAAAACTTATTTATATATGAATTTCATTCCTTCTTCTTCTTCTTCTTCTTTTTTTTTGTCTTTTGCACTACTGTTATAATTAAGGTCGGCACTGGTGGTTTCAAAACAACCCTAGAACTAGTCTAACTCTAAACCCTAACCCTGTTAGGGTTTGTACTTTGTCTGTAAGAAGAAAACAAGGGTTCCTAGAAATTCATTTGCCTTTTCGAGTGCTTCATTTCGAGGCGACACGAGCACTTTCCCGGCGTTTCCTCCCACAATTTAGAAATTCTCAAAACTTTTCTCTGGATTCTCGTGAGCTTCTTTGCCCTACATTGCCCTTTTTCCACCATTACATTTACAAACACACACCCTTTTAGTACTCACTTTCTTCTTCTTCTTCTTCTTCTTCTTCTAGCACACCTTCTTGTAATGTAACATCATTTATGTTTACTGGAATCAAGGATTTGTAAGTCTAGCACACGGATTGAAGCATAGATTTTGTCACAGCCATCAAACATTAGGAAGTAGTTCGGCAAATTGGAACTTTAAAAGAAATGTTGAATCACTCTTAAGACTTTCGGTCGACAATTATATACATGATCTTGCATATAATTTAGAACCATAACATTACATTCCACGAAAAAATCGTACATTGTAAAAGAAAAAAAATATGTGGTTGAAGAGTCATACAAGATTCCCTTTCCCCATTTTTTATTTTCTTTTACTACTACTTTATTTACCAAAATCAACACATGTTCATGTTACAAACAAATTAACTTTCCAAAGTTTGTTTTCTAATTGCTTTCAGTAACTCATTAATGGTCAAGTGAAGTCATGGTTTGAATGTCACCTGTAAGAATATAATCCTCTCCCTTCATACTTGCGGAGTACTGACCAGATATATGAAAATCTCATTTCAACTAACAATCACAGTAAAGTCATTATATGTGAATTTAGTATTCGTGATTTAAAGTATTTTTTAAAAATATTTTTTGTTTAAAAATATATCAAAATTATATTTTTTTATTTTTGATATCAACATATCAAAATTATTAAAAAAATTACTTAAAAAATATTAATTTGGTATTTTTTTTTCAAGTAAAAAGTACTTAAAAGCAAAAGCTACCACACTCATAATTTTGTATATATTTGATAGTGTAGTAGATGTTGTGTTTCAAAGTATTTTTGGTTTAATGTATCAAAATAATATTTTTTATTTTTTAAATTTTATTTTTAACATTAGCACACTAAAAAAAATTAATTTTAAAAAATAAAAAATAGCAAAATCAACACCCAAAAAATATGAGTCCAAGTCTCTCAAGATAAAAATTAATGCATTGAATTGCCTTCTAAAATTTAAAGCAATTTGGGTTGAATTAAAACTTCAAATTAATGCATCCAGTCAAAAACTTTTTTTAAAAATCAATAAAAATTAATTGTAAGAAACTCAGACAAGAGTTTAATCAAACTGGAATGCATCCAGTGAAAAACTTTTTTTAAAAATCAATAAAAATTAATTGTAAGAAACTCAGACAAGAGTTCAATCAAACTGGAAACTTCAAATTATGAACTCTTTAGTTTCCAATTTGAAACTTAGACAAGAGGACAATATAGTAAGACTGAGAAGTAGAAACTTAAGTTATCTTGTCTTAGAATGGTCAAAGTGATGCTTCTATTTTGTGTTTTTTTGTGCAAAGCTTGCAAACCGGATAAGTGGCCCTCCCTCCTCCTGCCTCTGCCAACTTTCAAAAGTCCAAAAAGACAACAACTGGCAGGGGTCAGTCACATTCCTCTGCATTTGGCCGCAATAACTGCAACGACCTGAGCCCTCTTTGATTAAATGGCCAGTGCCTTCTCTCTCTTTAATCAAAGAGAGAGAGTTAAGAGATTCTTGTTTGGTTACAGTCTTTGAATGTAAGTAAATGCTTTTTTTCTTTTTGTTTTTTATCACTATTTTCTGTTTATATAATGAAGATTTTTTTTTTATGTTCTTTTAAATGTGTTTGGAGAGAAGGCTAAAGGGTTTTTTTGGGTGAATTATTAGGCTTCATGCAATCAGCTGGTTTGTATATTTTGTAGGGTTGTAGAGTTGAGAAATTAAACGTGAAGAGAGAAGAAAGGAGGATAGAGAGAAAGCGAGAGACGTGGGTTCTGCTCCCTTATTGTGGTGCAATTCAGTCAACGTAGTCTTATATATTTATGTTTAAGAACTTGAGGGGAACTGTGTCATCAACAATGGCAGAGGATTTTCTTCTCTTCTCTTTTTTTTTTTTTTTTATGATCTCTGATCTTTACAGCTTGGTGTTGTAGAACGTTGTCCTATTTATTATTACTTGGATGGTTTTAGACTTTAGATTCTGAGAATTAACTAGTTTAGTGATACATTCTACTAGATTATGATCTGAACCCAGAAACTCTCAAAAGTTTCAGCTGGTAAATGATGAATAAACAGTTTTGATCACACTTCCTGGTCAGAGTGAGCCTGACTTCATGTGGATATATATCTTAAACCTTCAAAGACAAAATAGAATTATTTCTTATCAATTCTCGAATTTGATATTTAACAATACACACGTGATAGATCGATAATATATATGTCTGTATCAATGTGGATTGATTTGTATAGATAAATGTATGGATGAAGAGTGTGTTTGTTCATACAGCCTCCTATCTTGCCATACATATTGGTCTCATGCATGTAGTGTTTCTAAAATCCAGCTTGGCATGGTGATCAATAGACTTGGTGATCCACCTACTCGAATTCGTGATCTTGTTTGGCCCAAGTTCGTCATCAACAGTCTGGGTTAATAACTATCAAAACAACATTATTTTATATTTTGTATAAAAAAAATTTAAAAATTAAGTTAAATCAAATTAATTCTCAAACCGCAACCTAAGTCTTGAATCAGGTTGTCTTTCAAATCTAGTCTAAAAAATTATCGATGTACATACTAAGAAAAAAAATGAGAGAGCTTACTTTATAGAGAATTTTCATCTACATTACAACTTACCCAACAGACCATTCAAAATATTTTGATCGGTTTCATTAGTGATGGCTTAACGAAGCAATGCACTTAAACAACTACTGTTGATCAGATACAATGCAGATTTTCTAATACATGTATAGGAACTTATTTTAATCTTTAAACTTAAACCTCTTGACGGGGCACAAAGATCAATTAGAGGTGGTCAACAGATTTCTACTCGGGGAAACCAAACAAAATCCCTCAAGAAAAATCATAATTATCTTATTTGAACCAAGTTAATTATTGAGTGGTCCAAATTTTGCACAAACGGTAACTCTTCCCCCTTTCTCTAGTACTTTTAATATTTAATATGTCGGATTCTAACCCTAACATATTGCGTGGCCTTACACATGCAGGGACTCGGGGATCCACAGATTTGGTTTTTGGTGATAACCCATTTGCGAGAGAAAGATGAGAGATCTTCTATGGTTACGGGTTCGATCATCCCATATGTATAAAAAGATTAACACAATACCAAACACGCATATAGTTATTTGGAATTATGTTAATTTTCATAGTTATTGTTTAAAAAATAGATTTAAAAAAATTATAAATTATAATTTTTTTAATCTATGATTTTAAGGGTTTTCAATAACATACATGTAAAACTGTAGAATGTTGATTAACCAAACATTTATAAATATATAATTAATTTCTAGAAGATGAGGAAGGGAGGGAGTTAACTTTGCGTGGAGTGGTCGACATTGAGAGAGTGAGAGATGATTTCAATGGTGTGGGAATGCTGGGCTTTGGGGAGTCATATATCGCATTGAACGAGGTCGACGAGAGTTCCAATAAATTAACCAAGTGGGGGTGTGAAAGATTTTTATAAAGAGTCAAGGGAGGTATGGATTGGATTTTTCCAGTTGGATTTGTGGGTTTGTTTCAATACAAAGACTATCAGAGAAGCTCTAGCTAGATCAAATTTATATTTTAATATTTAAAACAATTTATTTAAAAAATAATAGTTGTAGTTGTAGTTTCATAGGATATAAACACTCGTGTCCTCTGTAGATTTTGTAATATTATAGTGTGACTTGGTTTTGAAGTGTTGGAAAATGGTGATGAGAGTCTTACCGCTTAGAATGGCCATTACAAAAGGGGTGAGCAAGGAACAACTTGGTTGATTTGTGTGTCTTCTGTGTGTGTGAGAGAGAGGAAACAAAGAAAGACTCTTGCATTTTAAGTACATTGTATCCTTCTCAAAATTCTTTCTTTTCAGCCTCTCCTCCTCCCTTCTCTTCTCTCATGGTCCCAAACATACAATCTTCATTTAGGTCAGAAGTTTAAGAAAGAAAGAATGTGTGAGAGAGACAGCAGTGTAGCAAACCCTAGATACTTATATATAGGTAAACATATAGCTGCAAAGATTTGATGGCTTCTCTCGTGTGCTTTCATTAATTTTTCTTGCTCAAAAGTTATGTTTTGAAGTTGTCTTTGTGTTATGTTCTGTTACATGCAGGTGGTTTTTGAGTTTTTGAAGTGCAAGCAAGTTTACCCCTTGAGATCATTAATTTTCAAAGAAGAATTTTGGGATCCATGAATTCTAACAACTGGCTTTCATTTCCTCTTTCTCCTACTCATCCTACCTTGCCTGCCCATCTACATGCATCTCACCCTCATCAATTCTCTCTAGGATTAGTCAATGATAGTATGGAAAACCCATTTCAAACTCAAGGTACAACTCTTATAATAATTTCCTCCTCTTCTTTTTCTTAGAGAATTATTAGTTATTTATAATTTCCTATTCACCTTCTCTATTTATATATATATATGTTTTTTTTTCCCTTTAGAGTGGAGTCTTCTTAACACTCAAGGCAACAATGAAGTGCCAAAGGTTGCAGACTTTCTTGGTGTAAATAAATCTGAGAATCAATCAGATCTCGTGGCCTTCAATGAAATTCAAGCCAATGATTCTGAGTATCTTTTTTCAAGCAATAGTCTGTTGCCAGTCCAAAATGCTGTGGTAGCCGCCAGTACTAACTATGAATTTCAAGAAAATTCTAGCAATTTGCAGTTGTCTATGGGCAGTGCTAGTGGTAAGGGTTCTAAATGTGAAACCAGTGGTGATAATAGTACTAATTCTGTCGAAGCTGCTGCTCCAAGAAGGACTTTGGATACATTTGGTCAAAGAACATCCATCTATCGTGGTGTAACAAGGTTGACACGACTAGTAGTGCTGAATTGGTTTCATCTTTTATTGTTTCGATTCTTTAAATCTTGATCAGTTACATTTTTGGGTTTTGAAATGGGTAGTTTTTGTGCATATGCAGGCATCGATGGACAGGAAGGTATGAAGCTCATTTATGGGATAATAGTTGCAGAAGAGAAGGTCAATCCAGGAAAGGAAGACAAGGTGCACAATGTTCATTGATCTTCTATCTAGGGTTTATAAATTTTAGTTGTGTCCTAATTTACATGGTACTAACTGTTTCTCTTTATTTTCATGCCTGCCTTTGGTTCCATTATTCTTGCAGTCTATTTAGGTGGGTAAAGTTCACTTCTCATGATAGTTTTTGTTGAGAATTTTTTTACATGTGATAGCTAAGCCTATCCTCTGTTAACTTCTTAACGAGCTCAGGTGGCTATGACAAAGAAGACAAGGCTGCTAGAGCTTATGATCTTGCTGCACTTAAGTACTGGGGAACATCTACCACTACCAATTTTCCTGTAAGTTTTTTCTAGTAAAAAAAACCACTGACAAGATGCATGGTTTTCATGAATGCATGCCAACTTTTTCCTTGATTTTCCTTTTGCAGATCAGCAACTATGAGAAAGAACTAGAGGACATGAAGCAAATGACCAGACAAGAATTTGTGGCCTCCATTAGAAGGTAAGTGATAGCAACTGCAAATTGGCACCAGAATGATTACATTTTCAAAAAAAAAATAATCTTATGCATAGGATTAGAAGTTTGAAGTAGTATTACCATCACAGCTAGCCCTAATTGTTTTCTTGTTGATAAATCACAGGAAGAGTAGTGGCTTCTCTAGGGGTGCATCCATGTACCGTGGGGTCACAAGGTACCACATTTAACATCTCTCTCCCCCCCCCTTCTTCTTCCTTCACTCTTCGCATTTCTGATCTCTCTTGCGTATGAATATCATTGATTAGGCATCACCAACATGGAAGATGGCAAGCAAGAATTGGTAGAGTTGCAGGAAACAAAGATCTCTACTTGGGAACTTTTAGTAAGTCTTTTTTGTCTCCATGCACATTGATTAGAAAACATTCTTTTGCTTTCTACATCTTATGCAGAATTTTAATTCTATGCAGGCACTGAGGAGGAGGCTGCGGAAGCTTATGACATAGCAGCAATAAAGTTTAGGGGGCTTAATGCAGTGACTAACTTTGACATGAATCGATATGATGTGAAAAGCATTCTTGAGAGCAATAGTTTACCAATTGGAGGAGGGGCAGCCAAAAGGCTAAAGGAGGCTCAAGCAATCGAATCGTCACAAAAACGAGAAGAAATTATTGCTCTTGGATCAAGTTATCCATATGGATCAACTTCAAGCTCTAGTCGACTACAAGCTTACTCTCTAATGCAAAAACCATTTGAGCAACCTCAACCTTTACTTACTCTACAAAATCAAGACATTTCTCAGTACACTCAAGATTCTTCATTTCAGCAAAATTACCTTCAAACACAGCTTCACTTGCACCAGCTATCTGCAGGGTCTAATTACCTACATAATAACCAATCAAGCCAAAATCCCCAGTATTACAGCAGCTATATCCAAAACAATCCCGCTCTGCTTCATGGATTTTGGAACATGGGTTCTTCATCATCTCTAATGGAGAATAATGTCAGTTCTAGTGGGAGTTATAGCACCGGAGGTTATCTGGGAAATGGGTTGGGAATGGCTACCAATTCAACAGGGTCTAATGCAGTAGCTGAGGAACTTCCACTTGTTAAGGTAGATTATGATATGCCTTCTGGTGGCTATGGAGGTTGGTCCGGGGAATCACTTCAGGGATCCAACCCAGGTGTTTTTACAATGTGGAATCATGAGTGATCAGATATTGGAAATGGAAAAAAAAAATGTCTATGATCAAGAGATGGGAGTCATTAAAGGAGTGTGCATGCATGCATGATCATGGGGGACAATATATTTGACCATGCTTTCTTTATGTTTGATTAAGCCATAGGAGTTCATTTTTAAAGCAAAACCCTCAAGAGGAAATGTAAAACCCTAGCTAGGGCTTTCTTTGATAAGTTGACAATCTTCTTTCAACTTAATTTGTTGGTATAACTGCTTATTTTTCTCGGAAGAGGAAATTAATGTAGCTAAGGTTTTAACTGGAACTGACTCGACCCAAAACGTGGTTTACTGGGTTAGTTTATACTTTTCATGTCAGTTGTTTCTGGGTCAAGTATGTCACAGATTTTGTATTGTACTAAATATCCATAAATCTTCTAACGATATCTATGAATTTTTCCGGTTCAATGGTCAATTCAAACTTGTTTATTCAAGATTTAATACAAATCAGGTTTTATAATGAATTAAGTAGAAGTTGACATGATTAAATTTGATCAACGGCCGGATTTATTAATGAATTAATTAAAATTTGAGTGAAGCTAATTAATTTAACCTTAATATTTCTTTTAAATAATAGCATTTTAATTTTTTAAAAATCTTTAAAAATAATAATATTTTAGATAAATAAAATCAACCTAAATTTGATTTGGCTGAGATATTTCTGTAATGTGGTGGTATTTTTTTATTTTAAAAAAATTTTAAATGATTTTTTTTAAAAAAATATTTTTAATATTAACGTATTAAAATGATTTTAAAATAAAAAAAATAAAAAAAAATAGTATTTCAACTACAATACTAAACATTAAAAAAAACAAATTGATGGTGGTCCTTGGTCAATTAGTAATATTGACTTCTTATTTTTTTAAAAAGAGAAAATTCACTAAAATTTAAAAGTAAAAAAACTATTGGACACAAATCTCTTTCTTTTTTTATAGCAGTCCAATATGATTTGATTTCTTTTTCCATTAATATTAGTTTTTAACTTGACAATTATTTTCATGTATATCGTAGGTTAAACAGCTATGATATTTTCCCATCAACTCCTGTGTAACAAGACTTTATATTTTTTTTATGAGTATAAAGTAAATTGTTTATATATACAATTAATGAGTAATTTAGATATTATTAGTTTTCTTTTCTTTTCTTGAATTTACCTGAGCTTAACCCCAATTAAAACCTAACTTAGAAATCAGGTGGATTAACAAAAAATAAAAATAAAAATAAAGGTCAAAATAATTTTTTATAAAAACATCAAAAATAAATAAATATTTTTTTACCACAAGTCAACCTATATTTTTTACAAGGTTATATCAAATAAAATATTTTTATTTATTATGAAATTTAACTCAATTAAGGTCTTAGATCAACTTAATCGAGTTTATTACTAAGTTTTTATAATAATTATAATTTTCTGTGTTTTAATTTAATTTATTATTATTTTTTTTTGCAGCCTCCTTCAGAAATTTTTTTTTAGGTTTAAAGAAAAAATGGAACTTCTTCTCCAAGCCACTTCCTCATCTATCATTGGATTAAAAAAAAATAAGAAAAAGAAAATCTGTTTCTACTTAGTTAGCAAGGGTAACATTGTCTTAAAGGTACAACAATCACATGCGGCAAGGTACTCCATAGACACATTACACCGCCATCACTTTACTATATTTTGTCAAATTTCACGACCTTTTCCAGCCTCCATCTCTCTTTGAGATCTCCACAGCTCTCCATCGTCGTAGTTTTCTCTTCAAGGTGCGTGCTTTCACCTCTAAATCTCTTCTTTAGCATCTTCTCTGAAATGGGTTGTCTTTTAAATCTCTGAGTTTCTTTGATTTTTGTGTTATAATTAGCGCTGACTTTAGATAGATCAAATCTACAAAATCCCATATATTGATGTACTTACATGTGTTTGCGTGAATTTTTTTCTTGGAATGATCTTTAGGGCATGATTGTTAATTGGTTGTGACTTTCTTAGAGCTGTATTGATAATTGTTTGAGGAAAATAACAGCTTTGATTGGATTTGGTGCTTTAAATTTGTGTTTTAGAATGTAATTGAAAGATAGGTTTTGAATATCTGCTTGGCCCTTTTTTGGGTTTTTATTGCCTTGGCCATCTCATTAACTTGTGGTCTTGTTTTGTTTTGTTCTGTCCCATAGTCATAGGAATGATGGGTTCTTGGATTTTCTTTGAGATGGATGCGGTTTCAAGAAAAAAGAAAAGGCTTATTTTCCCATATTCTTGATAAAGTGGTAATCAGTTACCAGTAATTGTGCATTAATTTTTGCTCTGGAAACAACCATGATCTTTTGGGTGGATTTCTTTTTTACATAAGCCAGGATGATTAAACATTGTGAGTGTAAACGATTCTTGTTGAATGGACTTTCGTCATTCTGATGTTCTTATTTCATTGCATTTTGTAATGCTCTAGTTAATCATTAACCTGGAAAACAAGCTATAGATGATGCTTTATTCCTGGTGAGCGTAAAGAGGTTAGAATGGAAGCTTTTAAACAGGGAAGCGATGTATTTTTTTGCCTGGGCTTGACTTCTTGGTCATCTTTTTGTCCAGAATTTGTTATCTTATGAATGATGATCTGAATTAATCATGAAAAAATAATGTTATCCTTCCCTTTGTGAAAATGTGCTGACCAATTTTTTATTCTTTAATGAAGAGCACCAGTTGAAACAGCATGGTGAAAGCATACGGACAGGAGCATGTTTACAAGCACCCATGGGAGAGGGTAACATCTGCATCATGGCGCAAGTTTTCAGACCCTGAGAACAAGCGAACTCTATCCCATATCGTTGAGGTTGATACTTTAAACCATAAGCTGGATCCTGAATCTGGGAAGCTTTACACGACTCGTGCCATTACTGTCCATGCTCCTGGACCTTGGTTTGTCCGCAAAATCATTGGTCAGGATATCTGCCACTGTGTCGAATCAACAGTTGTTGATGCCCGAACTAAGTCAATGCAACTTAACACTCGCAACATCAGTCTCCAGAAGTTCCTAGAAGTGGAGGAGAAGATCCGCTATGATCCTCACCCAGATAATCCAAATGAGTGGACAGTGTGTCGACAGGAGACTAGCATACGGATTAAGCCACTGTCAGCACTGGCATCAATGGCAGAGAAGGTTGAGCAAAAATGCGCTGAGAAGTTCATGCAGAATAGTGCGAAGGGTCGAGAGGTTATGGAGAGAATGTGCAAGTATCTGGAAGCTGAATCTAGAGGCATTGCCATGTAATCTGGCTTTCTCATGATTTTGATTTCCCATTATTGGCTCATCAGGCTATGAAGCCTTTTAGAATAGAACATGCCAAGACATTCTTAGAGTAGCAAATAACTGAAGTGCCTGTATAATACCATGGGTTAATCTTGAATCCTTTATGGATGATGTGCAAATTTTGTAGTTAAATTAAGTTTGGAGACGTGTATGTGCATATATCTTTCATTTCAGTATGAAAACCTGTTGGTTGGCATCGCCATTTAGCTTTTGTATCTTTTGGTCACCAACAATAACCTCATATTGAAAGGAGGGGAAGGGTTGAATGTCATACTATTCGTGAGATATCACATAATCATCATACCGAAACTTCCCATGTTATATGCATCAAAGAACTTGCTGAAAGAGAAGATTGTTATTGAATGAGTACCAGGTTTATTTTTACGTGCCTGTTATGCTATCAGGATTGAGCTCAGTATCTGCACTGGAGATATGATCGTCAGAGTGAGAAGCTGAGAACAGATGAATAGATTCTCTCTTCCATGGTGCTTATAAGATTGGATTTTCTATTTGTGTGGTCTGCGTGTGTGTGAGTTAATTCAGTTCAATTATGTCCAAAAGCTTAAATGCCTGTTTAGAAGCATGATAGTGTGGTATGCGTTTCTACTTTTTGATATTTTTTTAAAATAATTATTTTCAGATTTTTTTATTTTTAATATCTACACATCAAAATAATTTAAAAAAATATTAAAAAACTATCTATTTAATATATTTCTAGAACAAATACATTTTAGAAACACACAGTTGCCAAACTCAATGTAAAACAGGCAAGCTGTTGCTCATTCCTGGATTACTCGTTTGTAGGGACCTCTTCTGTCATTCTTGAACCTTGAACGAAGGTAATCCAAAACGAAAGAGAAGAAATACTGAATGCTGTGTTCTATGATGGAGCTCTACACGCCTGCCTTAGCTTTTACATGGTGGGTTCCGCAATCATACTTTGGTGGAAAAACAACATAGAATTGGCTTGTTATCTTACAGATCCTTTCAGTGGTTCTGAAAGAAGTAACTTTTCGTGGCATGAGTCGGACACGAGTAGGTGGCCTCGATTAAAATGAAATCTACTTGTTCAATATGTGTGACTTTTTGGCAACAATTCCTCAATTTGTTACTTGCTTTACACTTGAAGGTTTCGTGTGTTTGGTACTCCAGTATATTGCATTTTTAAAAAATATTTTTTTTTATTACAAACACATCAAAATATTCTTTTAATTTTTTACAACACTTCAAAATAATCAAAAAATATTTAAAAAATATCATTTTATTTTTATTTATTTATTGATAAAATACAATCAGAAAAACAAATCTAACCATAAAGACAAATACTTTTTAAAGTGTTTATCATTGCAACCAACCACGCAGTTTGCCATGATAACTAACGGAAAACCTAACCTAAATTGTAAGCCAGCTTACACCCTTAACCTAAATGGTCAGTGGGTTTGTAGGGTTTGAATTCAAAGGGAAAATTCTGTGAATATACTTTTGGGGTATGAAATTATGAATGACCCGAAAAAGACTAAATCTTAGCAAGCGGAGCTCGGAGAACCCTCTAAATTCTAAAAACCCATCAGTCCTGTCTTAGAGAAAACTGAGCCAGTAGGCAGGTGACAGCATTGGTGCAGGAAAAATCAATGGTGGGGTAAATACCATAGGCCAGTCTTTTATGGCTTGAAAGATGACCCTTTTCATATTGGCATATCATTGCCTTGTTGCCCTGTGAAGTCACCAATCTTCATAGGAAAGGGAAAAAATTGATATGGTCTTCAAATACTGCCTTTGAAGGAGCCTAATTTCCACAGCTGATTTAAATTTGAAATTAGATAGCAGTAGCAACCCCAACATAAAAGGGATTCAGGGACGCAAATAATGCCATCAAAGCCATAATTGAAATTTACAAAGGTACACATAAGCATCCATGGACGGCCTCCACAAAATCCAGAAATGGTTTTAGATAAATGGCATATGAAACAGGATGGCACACTACAAACTTAACCATGACAGAGTTCTTCAAACCACCATAGATCAAGACTTAAAACATTGGGGCCAACATACAAACTCTCGGCAGTCACAAGATACGGAGTTCATGCTGCCAAGATGTCCTAAACTGTCTTGCTTCTTCCCAAAGATGACAATTAAAAGAGGGCACTGATTCGATACTCGGCCATCTCAGAAGCCCCAAAGATGAAAATGTGCATCATATTTCAGAACACGAAACGTCATTCCATCAGATACTTAGATTTTATCAAGCTTCTCTGCCTTGACAACAGGGTTGGCTTTTGCTATTGCTTCACGGGCAGCAGAACGATAATCAAATGGGCAGTCATGTTTATCTGAGTAGCGATGAGATGCACAAAACAGGCTACCGCATCGACACTTGAACCCTGTTAAACCAACTCTTTTCTTGCAAGAGGTGCACCGGTTTGGACCCTCTTTTGGCTTTGCCTCAACTCTCTCCCCTGAGCCTGAAGCACAGGATGGCTGCACAGTGATGGTCTTAGGCTCCACTGCATTGTTTTGGACATCAATGATGTCAGCAATAACAGTTTCAAAAACATCGCTGCTTGATGATCCATTCACAATACTTCCAATAGATGACGCAGCGAGATTTGCCTGTTCCTGTTTTAACAGCATATCCTTGTGGCACTTTGAACACATGTTCATAGTAGCTGCACTTCCAAAGAAGCCACAATTGTTTGTACACAAAATAGGACCTTCTGGAGGAGCTTGGCATCCTGTCTCGTCATGGTCCATCCTTCACCTTTCCTGCACCACAACTAGATGATCAATATAAGCAGAAGATAAATGTAAAAAAAAAAAAATTCACTTTAATATATTTAATATAATCAGAAGATAAATATGCATATTCAGGTGCCAGATACATGCAAAAGAAATGTTAGACATACAACTATGTTCCTTGCCAAATGTATTATACCCTTCCCCACCAAAACATTATTTCTGATACCATACTCAAAGAAACATAAAATTCTAAAATGGCCTTTACTTTTCCAAAATGATCTAACCAAGAGAAATCCTTCTCTGAAACTAGTTTTCAAACTGAAGCATGGTCACACAATGATTAAGACCAATGGCCAAAGCCCATCTAACAATAAAAGCCATCTATTACTCTCATGCAAGACTATTTCTCCAACAAAACCAACAAAACTTCCAACGTAAACATATTTAACCAGAATACCAAAATGAAACTAAACAATTCAAACTAGTTTTGGATTTATACATGCAAAGTTTCTTTGTTGTTAGTCTAGTGAGTGAAGTGAAATTATTTAGATATCTGATATTGATTATTTATCTCTGCTTTAAACTTTTAAGCAATATAATCCAGACACATTACCCAAATATGAGGCTCTCATAGCATAATGCCAAAATGTTCTAAGGAAAAAAAAGGAAGAACAACAAAGAAAATACAACACTTCCTTTTGAAAGAAGCAAGGATTGTGGAAAAAATAATGTTCCATTTTGAATATTTAATTCTCAGTCTGCCTCTAGCTTCCTTGACAACAGATACCAAATGCATACAAGTGATACAAAATTCATAAACTAAAGGCTGATAATATCTTCCTCAAGAGAGATTCTAACAATTCTTTCGTGTTTAACCTCATCAAACATCATTCAATGAAAATTTCATATACCAGTATGCACATAAATGGGAAACCAGCTGAGATTGCAACACAAGTCAATTTTCAAGCAACTGAAAATGATTTTCAAAAATACCATACCTTAATAAACAGTCATAAACTACATGCAGAAAAGTGACAAAAAGAAATAAAGACCCTACTTTCAAACTTCTCCTACAAATCTTCAACCACATCCAAAGTATTAACCAAACTATACCAAAATATCCCAAAGTCTAAGAAACCTCAACTTCAATCATCCGAAACACAAAAACATACATATCCTCATTTAAACACACACTCTCGAGAAAAAAGAAGCCGACTCTTTTAGCCCTTTTGACACTTGAAATAACAGATTCTATCATCAATATCTAACAAAGATCTTAACTGTATCATGTTTTTCCTTCATCATACCAAAACCCATAAAATCACACATGCCCATAATCCCATAATTGTAAAAACAAAAAAGAAACAAAAAAGCTACCAGCAACAAACATATGCATGTACATGCTCATGGCTACCCCATATGCATGTATCCATGAATGTTATGTAGTAAGTCTAACCTGGTTAAACAAGAAACGATTCCTTTGAGCCGATCTTAGCTCAAAACTCCATAAAAAAATTCCTGCTTTTATCAAATGAAACGAAACAAATAAACAAATATTAAATAAATAAATAACTATGAACACAACAAATCCATTAAAACACAAATCAAAATAAATCAAAACCAGGAAATCAAAAGGTGCAAACCTTGCAAGAAATGGACCAGATCACCCAGAGAAGAGAGAGAGCCAAGCCAAAAAGAGAAGAGAGAGAGGGATGTGTATTTTTTTGGTTCTCTCTCTATTTTTGTTTTATATAATTTAGATTCTCAATATTTTTTCTTTGATTTTAAAAAAGGTCGACTACATTTCAGTCCCTAAAGAATCACTACTATCTTACTTTAATCTATATGGTTTGAAATTCTTATTGTCAGCTAGTTACAATGTTTAATGAAGTAATCACACCGATTAAGAACATGCTGGAATTGGGATTAAAAAATGATGTCAAAAGGAAACCAAGTGAAGAACTTTATTTGTTATTGTTTCTTTATAATTTAAACTAATTATACATCTCAGCGCGCGGTACATATATATATATATATATAGTTTCCAAAAATTCACACTAATTATAGCAAATAAAATCTAACTACGAGTGACTTTAAAACTTGTTGAAATTTGTCTAAAATAATATTAAATATAGAAGACTTTCATTAATTAAAAAAATGCATGTGTTATATAAAATATATTTTTTTATGGAATTCCTCCATGGATAGAGATGAGAAAGAAGTAAAAGAATTTAAGAAAAAAATCATGAAGAAATAAAATACCCAAAGCTTGGTTTGAAATGAGCTTTATTTTGAACCAATTTTTTTCCACCAATATATAACATTGTTTTAGTTTTTTAAATTATAATTCTCATTGACCAACTAATTTATCAATTGATTTATTAAATTTATGACTTGAATTTTAAATCAGATTAACTTTCTATTAAATTTTATAGTATAAAACATTTTAAAAAATATGAAAGACAAAAAAAAAGAGAGTAGAAAAGGTTGTAGGTAAAGAGACTTCAAGTGTCATCCATCACATATTAATCATGATAGAGGTTGATTGAAATCTTCTAAAAAACATAGGATTATATTCTAAGATTATAAAATATATGGGTCTAAAAAAAATACTTTTAAATATATAAGGGCTAAACTATAGTTTTCCATTTTAAGGAACAAAAATATATAATAATAATAATAATAATAAATAAAGGTTCTCTCTGCCAGCGAACCGAACCATCTTTACTGACTGGGGGTTACGTGTTAACATATTACTGGATGCACGTGTACCTTTCCAGGTTTCCTTTTTTGTCCTTTTGATTCAAACTAATTAACGGCTTTTGCCATTTCTGAAGGAGGCTTGTTTCACCTACCAGTTGTTATGTAGGGAAGGAAGGTGCCTGACGACGGCATGACATACAAGAAAATGACATGTCGTTGATCCATCCAAAATGTGGCTTTTCATATTCTTACGGTAATTAATTACGGGTCTTGGACCTAATTATAAGACCTGGCTCAATGCCTCAAGGGAGGTCTATTTGATGACCTGCCAGCCTATGATTTGTTCGGAGTGGGGAGACGGTGTACAATTTCAATTTTTTTTTATTATTATTATTGAAATGATGTTAATTTAAATTTAAAAAAAAAACAAATTTTAGATTTATTAGAGTCAATTTTCCATACAAGTAGCCTGAGTTTTGGAATTGATCAACTTCCAAGTTAGATTTTATAATCATGGTTGTGATAATTTTTTAAAGATGTTATTTATATGTTTATTTTGTTGACTCTTTAATTAAATATATATTTACTTTTAAGTTAATTTAGTTACTTTAATTTAAAATATATTTTTAAAAAATTAAGTTTTAACTAGACTATCCATAATGTTATTTGGTAAATCCTAAACCCTAAATTCTCAAGACTTGAGGGTTTTTTTTTTTTAAGCTATCAATAGTAAGAAGTCAATGAATAAATAATAATAATTATAAGTGTATAACTATAACAGTCAATTCATAGATTTAATTGACCTTCTGCTTTATAAAAATAAATGACTGCAGAGACGGTTGAATTTTGACTGAATTAGTTCTTCCATGTTCTTGAATGCTCTTCTCACCATGTCATGTTTGAATTTGTAATTTTCTTGAATGGAGATCTTTTGCTCTAGAGGATCCTTTACTTTAATCTTAAAAAAATGATTTAAAATCAATATTTTGAAGCCATCACTAGAATACAAAACTTTATCCAGTGTTTGTTTTAACTTATGCTCCTTGCACCAACGTTAATTGCCTTTTTTTTTCCTAATTAACAAAGTCACCTACAACCATAAATATGAAATTCAGATTGGTCTGTTAGGTTAATTTAGTGAATAGATCAATCTTGATAAAATAAAATATTAGAATAAGTAAAATTTTAATGAAATTTAATTGATCTGGATAATCTGACAAAACCAAATTGAAATTGAAATTATTTTTTAAATGTATTTTTTTTAGTTAAAGACTTTTTTATATATATTTTTTAGTTGGTTATTAACTATTTTTAAATTTTATTATATAAATACTAGTAAAATGTTTTATTTTTTAAATATAAGATTTAAAATCTTTTAATAAATATAATTTATGTTCACAAAAAAAATTACTTTTTTAATATAGGATTTAAAATTTTTTAGTATATATATTTTATATTCACAGTAAAAAAATTATGTTTTTACAATGTAAAATAAAAAAAAATTGATTTAAGTATTTTAACTTGAAAAAATAACATACTAACATTGTATATTTTCAATTTAGATACAAAACTTTTTAAAATAATCTCTTAAACTTTATTATTTTTAACATGTATAGTGTATATTCATGTGAATTATTTTTTAATTTTTTTGTATGAAATATAAAAAAAAATTTAAATTTTTTTTTTTTTAAATTAACACGGGTCAATTTATATATCCCAAGATCTAGTTTTTTAACCGGATCAATTCCCAAATCACATTTGATAACTATGCTATGAACAAGAGATTTTATTTTTTTTAGCTGGGAGCATAATTATAAAACTATGTTCAGCTAATAAACCTTGTCGCATGTTATATTAGTTGGCTCGGATTTATTGGTTTTTTTTTTTTAAGTTTCAAAATATTGTTGTCTTGAATAAAATTTTAAAAAATAAAATAATATCATTTTAAATAAAAATAAAAAATATATAAATTTTCATTGCAGCAAAATACTGGATTGATTTATTGAGTTCCCATTTAAATGATTTAAGATCAAAACATCAGATCTTGAATTATAAAATTAACCCGTCAAGCAAGATAAGTTTAACAACGACAACATGAAGATCAAAAAGAAATGGTGATTATCAGAGCTCAGAGCACAAAGAACAACTGTTTATTCCTTTTCTTTTTTTTTTCTTTTTTTTTTTCTGGATAAAATCAAGGGGTTGTAATAAAAGCAGGATGATAACACACAAGCAAGGTTGGACCAGAAACAGCACTTCACCGCACAAGTTGATTCTCCAAGGCAGGACGAGATTTTCCCCACTTGCAAGGTTGCGTTTCTGAGTGCTTTTCTGGCTGGCTTGCAAAGGAGCAAGGCGCCAGATCTTGTTTGAAATGCATGTGGGCCTCTGGCGGTGACCAAATGATGCTTTCTTCCAGGAGTAAACTAGGCTCTCCTTTTTTGCACTAGCAAACTGTCCCCAAGATAAAATTATGTTTTGTCTCTATTAAAATTTTAAAAGTATTGGACTAATCAATATAAATTATAATTTTATATGATTTAAAATTTTTTTAAAAATTTTAATTATAAAAATATCTATAATATATGAGTCTTTTTTAAATTTACTTCTTCAAATCATAACCATAAAAACTATTTCAATATCATATATATTTTAAAATATATTACAGATATATCATTTTCAAAATGAATGGTCAGTTTAAGATTAAATTAGAAAATATTTTAGTTGTTTCATTATATTTTTAATTATTTATTATTTTTTATATTGGATCAAATACTAAATTACCTCTCATTTGACATTAGAATTGCAAAAAAAAAAAAAAATCATTGTGCAAATAGGTTTTAGATATTTTAAAACACAAGAAAATCAATTTAATTTATTTTTATTGTAATCACCAATAAAAAATAACAACATTGAATGTAGAGCTCCAATGTTTTTCCAATATCCGAACTTCTTTTAACATAACAACATTGAAAACTTCGAGTGCAGTTAAAAAAATTAATTTAATATATTTTTAAGTTAATTTTTTTTTAAAAAAAAACATATAAAAGCAGAACTAAAAGTTATGCTAAATACTCCAAAAAAAAAAGACTTCAATGTATTTAATAACTAACACTAACTTTTTTTTAGATAAAAAATAAAATTATAATTATATTATTTCAATGAATAATATTTTTAAATGTACAGCTCCAAAGTTTTTCCAAAGTATCTCAAGTTCTTTTAACACTGCAACCTTAATCTCAATTCAATGGAACCTCAGTTTTGTGGTTATTAATGCCAAATACCAAGAAATTATTATACGAAAGAAAAATATTCAGAGTCCAACTTTATAATTAGATTTCAGTTGCTTGGTTGGTACAATGATTAGCTATGGCCCTACCAAATGGACGAAGAAATAACAACCTTGAATTGATGTCTCAAGAATTTGTATATTAAAAAAGATTTTTCTGTCCATGAAAGCCATTTAAACTCTGTAAATAATGCACCTTTGGTGGAAAAGACAATAGACAAGACATCTTGTAGTATCCAAGTACAAAAAACAAACAAAACATTTTTATTTCATTTTTTGAATCTGTGTTTTAAAATAATTTTTTAATTTTTATTGATTTATTTATTTTAGATCAATATATTTTTAATATTTTTAAATTATTTTAATATAAAAATAATTTTTTAAAAATTAAAAATATCATTAATATATATATTTTAATATTAAAAATTATTTTAAAAAAACCACAATTACACTAACAAATAAATAATAATTATTAAGATCGGTTAATAATTTAATTGAAATAACAATAGTTTTTTTAATATTTATTATTTAAAACTATATTAATATAATATTTTTAAATTTATTTTTAATTTCAACACATTAAAATCATCTAAATCTATAAAATATTAATTTAACTTAAAAAGATTCATTTTTTTAAAAAATATTTTTTAAACATAAAAAGAACACTCTTAATATTAGATTTGCCTCAAAATAAATTTTATCTCCAAATAATCGTGATTTTTCATAATTTCATAACATAAAACGTGAAGTTCCATGTAAAAATGATGTTTCTTATAAAATTAAAGGTATAATTTAATGAAATCTATCATCAAATATGTATTTGAAATTTAAAAAATAAAACTGATATAAAAATCTATTTAAAAAAATATTATATAAATAATATTTAGTTACTATCTTGGAAATAAAAAAAATATTATGAAAACAATAAAAAAAATATTTTTTTACCTCCAAATTTATTTCGGTCATCATCACCCACCACATATGGCAGTAATGATGCGTAGGGAATCCCGAAATGCAAGTAATGCTAAACTGCTAAGCTTTCCTATCTATTTCAAACCGTGGTTGGCACACCTGTCCCAGGAAACTAAAGCCTCTGCCTTTTTTATCCTTCTTTCCTTTGCTTTTGCCTCAAATTTGCTCTTTCTTTTGAATTTAAAATTAGTATTCAAAATGCTCAGTTTCTTTCCTTGAACTTGTAATATCTTTTCATCCCTTCACATTTTTCTTGAGTTTGGATGACATGTTTATGGGGTGATTCTTGAATAGTTATATGTATGTGTAAATGAAGAATTTATCGCACTTTGTCTTCATGTTTGCTGCATGATTCCTGTTTGTGATCTCTGAACCACGCAACTTTTACCGTGACATTGTTCTGTGCAAACAGTTAATGTTTCTGTTGTGGTCTTGAATTCAATTTAATGGTTTTTGTAGCCATATAATACAATGGCTTGCTTGACATGAACCGGTCAAGGGGGAGCACCCCTTGGAAAGGCTAGTGGATAAGTGGATATAGCTGTAAGGTCTGTTACTTCTCTGAGCTTTGAAGTTAGTCATGGAGACTAAGAACAAAGAAATGGTATCTAAGATGGACGATTATGAAGTTCTAGAGCAAATTGGAAGAGGAACGTTTGGTGCTGCATTTCTTGTTCTTCATAAATTTGAGAATAAGAGGTAAAAAAAATCTGTCCCAACTCTTCTTCTCTTCCCAATTTCTTCAGGTTTTTGTATAGGATGTTTTTGCACTTCAGCTTAGATTGTACTTAGGAAGGGGTCAGCAGAAGAACTCTCCCTCGCAAGTTAGGGGAAGGGGTAGGACTCAATTTGAGTCCTGTCTTGCTACACTAAGAAACATCAAGAAGGAAGAGAGAGAGAGAGAGAGAGGAGGAGGAGGAGGAGGAGGAGGAGGAGGTAGTTGGGAAGGATAAAGGACTAGAATTGATTTTTTTGACCTTAATATTATGCAAGCTTTTCTTTCTAAACTAGAGAGCTGAATGTTACTTAGGATTCTTTAGGAGGGTTAATAAATGCCAAATAAAGTTCTTAGTACTGTCCTTTGAGTGATAATTGAGAGGATCGGTTTCTTGTTTATGAAGTGTGATTAGGCCCACATATGCCATTTATTTCCTCCTGCTGTTATTGTTACAGAATCAATATGCTTTTGCCATATACAGCTGTTTTCAGAAACCTGACATTGACATTGATCCAGCTTAGCCAAGTTATTTTGGAAGATTTAGGTAGGGTGTGGTTAATATTCTGGAAGAAATACACGGGGATGGTTGGGAAAGAAAAGACATATCTTCTTTGTATTTTCCGTCACTTTATTTTTATATCTTCCTCTCTGTTGCTTCAACCAAATACGTTTTTTTTTTTTTTTGGTTGTAAAACACAAACCAAACTTTCAGAAAATTAATTTTGGTTTCAGTACATTTTTAAACGAAATCTATCTGTATTCTTTAGGTATGTCTTGAAGAAGATTCGATTGGCTAAACAAACAGAAAAGTTCAAGCAAACTGCTTATCAAGAGGTAATTAACCTCCAGAAAACTGTTTAATTCATCAATTACTTAACTCTGCTATGATGTTCATGTATTGCATTGAGAAGTATAACTTAGCTACTATTGGTATATGCTGCAGATGAATTTGATATCAAAGCTTAATAACCCATACATTGTGCAGTTCAAAGATTCATGGGTGGAGAAGGTAGCTTTTAGCAATCTGTTCTTGTTTGCTCATGTTGTTTTACCTCACAATTGAGGAAAAAATGAATTTATTGAGAAAATCACTATTCCAATAACAAAAATAGTATCTTCACTGTCTGCATTTATGTTACAGGAATCCTATGTATGCATTGTAACAAGTTATTGTGAGGGAGGAGACATGTAAGTTAATACAGTATAAAATTTTGAGTTCAATCTTGAATTGGCATGCAGGATGCCAACTATTTCTAAGTGCAGTTGAGACTGTCTGGATGCTCGGATCCCCACCATCCATGCACTGCACGCACGGTTGGCTCCCATGGCACGTGCACTGCATTGAAGGTGGGGGTCTGCACGGTCGGGACTGCACAGAGTATTCCCCTTGCCAATAACATCTCACCATTGCTGCTGGCTTAATTGTTCAAGGCAACCATGTTGATATTTTATCCATTTGTTTATCTGATATTTGATTTTACAGGGCTCAAATGATTAAGAAAGTTAGAGGGACATATCTTCCTGAAGAGGTAATGGACGTATGAAATTTCTGCAATAAACTAAAGTCCTTTAAGACAATTTTGTTTCTGATGTTAGTTTTGCATCTATTGCAATTATTTTCCTACTCTACTCCAGATGCTCTGCAGATGGCTGACGCAGCTGTTGCTTGCTGTGGACTACCTCCATTCTAATCGTGTCTTGCACAGAGATTTGAAAGTATGCATCAGTAGCAATTCTCATTTGAAAAAAAGTTGTTCATGGTATCATTCTGATATGAATATACTCTCTAATGCCAGTGCTCCAACATATTCCTTGCGAAAGATGGCAACATCCAGCTAGGTGAGGATGCAAATACACAGAACTCTTTTACATTTTATTTGCTTCAATTGTAAAGAAACTGTATTATCTCACGATACATGTCCAGGTGACTTTGGACTTGCAAAATTGTTGAACAAGGAGGATCTTGCATCCACGGTAATGATTCAATTATCGATTCAGTCTGATTGTGATGTGTTCCTATATATTGTTAATTCTGGCATTGGTGACACAACAAGGAGGATCATTTGTTTAACTGAATTTTCCTGGAAAACCGCTACTAATGCTGCTTGTTATTTCTGTAGATTGTAGGCACTCCGAACTATATGTGTCCAGAACTTCTTGCAGACATACCTTATGGCTACAAATCGGACATTTGGTCTCTAGGTAACAAAAACCCTGTTATATGTTTATGCATTAATTTTCCAGCCCGCTAGCATGGAATCTCTTTAAATCACATTTTTCTATAATTTTACAGGTTGCTGCATGTTTGAGATTGCTGCACATCAACCTGCATTTAGAGCTTCTGTACGTGTCACATCAGCATTGTTCAGACAAAAATTGAACAAGTTTTTTCAGTCCTGATGAAGGTCAATAACTTTTACAATGGTTATGAACAGGATATGGCTGGACTAATTAACAAGATAAATCGCTCCTCCATTTCTCCACTCCCAACTGTCTATTCCTCCACATTGTACGTGATATTCTCTGCAACCTCCCAATGCATATGCACTATATCAGGAAAATACAACTGAATACGTTGGCTTTTTTATCTCCAGAAAACAATTAATCAAAACCATGCTGCGGAAGAGCCCAGTGCATAGGCCAACAGTGAGTCTGAGTTGCCCTTGGTAGTTCTCTTCTCTTGATCAGAAAATGATTTTTATTAATGCTTGCATTTCCACAACTAGGCTGCAGAGTTGTTGAGGCACCCCTATCTACAACCATATCTTGCTCAATGCCAAAATCTATCTCCTGTTTTTCTCCCTGTGACGTCTGAATACAGCTGCACGGATAAACCAAAAGGAACCCGATTACCTAACAAGTCTAGTGTTCACAAGAATGCCATAGCGTTGAAAGCAAGTCCATCAAAGGAGTGCAAATGTTTTAACCAGGAAAAAGTTGGTGCTTTTGCACAAAGAGTAGCAGCAAATGATTCGCCAAAAAGTGCAGAACAAACTGAAAAGGTCACCTCAGGAACCAGTTCAGCAAGCATCGCAAGGACTCACCATGATGAAGAGAAACAAGAAATTGCTTCTGAGAAGTCCCAAATAGTTCAAGAGAAGCTCCGTGGAGTTGGCCAAGCTGGCATGGAATGTAAAAGTGCTAGTTCAGGGAATAGCAAAAGAATGGAAAAGCTGTCTGCGGATTCGACAGACTATGTTGGTCTTGCTGGTTACAAAAAGGCATCAGCATTGGCGATGGATGACCAAACTAGACATGATCTTGAATTGGAACCGGAATTCTGCGAACCCCCAACAGTGACAGACATGAAATCAACACCAAGTAAATCGAAACCACCTCACGGAAACGGAGATAGACAAAAGGAATTGAATAGATCCCCTAGTGACATCTCATCAGTGAGTTCACTGGCTTCTCTACATGGTGATGAAACAAAGATTAACTGGAATCCTCAGAGCCTGCAAAGAGCAGATGCTCTGGAATCACTACTAGAGATTTGTGCAACTTTGGTTAGACAGGAAAGGTATGAGGAGCTAGCAGGAGTACTAAGACCTTTCAGTGAAGAAGCTGTATCATCAAGAGAAACAGCAATTTGGTTGACAAAGAGCCTCATGAAACTTCACAAAAAAGGCAACGGAGCAGCTCAGCGATGAAATTTCTGATAATTCAACTAGCTAATTCGACTGGATCTGATATGGAGAGTGTATAAAATAGGCTGTCAAATTTCTGTGTTCTGGCTTCTGATAAGGCTCATCAAGGAGTTCTTCATGAACTACTCTGAGAAGCAGAAACCATAATCCATGCACATTGTGCTTGCATACCAAACTAGCTAGTTTATAACTTCCAACTTGTCATGATTGGTTCTGGTCTCATGTCAGATAAGACCATTGAACTTAATTTCAATATTTGCTTGTTTCAAGTTTTGGTTATGACAAGACACGAAACATTTATATGCATAAATTTATTCCAAGGCCCTGAACACACCCCACCTCCAAAAAAAAAAAAAAAACATAAGCCTGAGCTCATTATCTAAGCACATACCCAGCACCTCGTGGGCTTTGTTTTTGAGTCCAAACAATATGTTTAGATTTATTTTTTATTTTTAAAGTGCTCAGTTTAAAAATTTCTTTTAGGATTCCATAAAAATCCTTTAATATTTTATATTAATTTAATATATATTATTTTAAGTATAATAAAATTTAAAATATTATAATGATAAAATTAAACTTTAGCCCATTCTTTCTACAAAATAACAAAATTCATGAATTATAAATATATCATGAATTTTTTAAACTCAAGGTTGATAATTTTTTTATTTTTAACACTTTCATTATAAATATTTTTAGAGTTTATATCTCTAAAATATTTATTTTCAGATGTGATGGGATACATGATACTCAATAGCAATGTAATTTTATTTTTAAAATAAAAATAATATTTCTCTAATATACATTTTCTAAGTACAAATCTTTAGTAAGGGGTTTTGGACACTTTTCAAGGATGAGATTGATTTGGTCTTTCTAATACAATAACACCACTCTTTTTAAAGGGGATTAACTTAGTTTATCTAGTGCAATATCCCCACAATCTTCAAGGAGTAGGTATGAGATCTCCTAGTTGCAATAACACATTTTACAAGTGATGTTTAAGCTCCTTTTACCAATTTGTCAAGGGTTGATCTTAAATCTCCTATTCTCTAGTGCACTCTTGGACTGTTATATTCTCTAGATGATGTCTAAATGCTTCTCATCAATTCGCCAGGAATTGATCTCAGATCCCATATTCTCTAGTGCAATCTTAGACTAACACATTCTATAGTTGATGATTAAAGGCATCTCACCAATTTGTTAAAGATTAATCTTAGATCTTTTATTTTCTCATGCAGTCTCAGATTAGCACATTCTTCAGGTGATATTAAAGGGCCTCTAAATAATTTACCAGGGATTGATCTTTGATCTCCTGCCTCTCCAATATAGTCTTGGACTGACATCACTTTCTAGTAGGGGGCTTTCATGTCTTATACCATCCTAGGGAGGTTATATACTTCTTACACTTCATTGACCACTCTTTAGTGGAGGGCTCTAATGTCTCATATCATCTTAGAAAGGTTACATACCTCCCACGTTCCAATGTAACCACTCTTTAAAGGATGAGCTTGATCTCTCTACTACAATAGCACAACCTTCTATGACCCGTCCTCTTATCCTTTTAGAAGTTTTTTTAATCTAAAATATAGGCATTGATATGAGCTCATCTCCTTAATCTCTTGGAAAAAATTTTAAGTATGAGTGTCAACATGGATCCTTCTACCATCTATTTAGAAAATCTTTCAAGTATAAGCTTACACTTTATGAGTTCTCCTTTACATACTTAGATTTCTTTTCATCTATGGTGCATGCTCCTCTATATAGGTTTTTTGGTATATTACTCGAGGTTTTCACCTTTATTGTTGTATAAAGAAAGTACAATAAACTTGTCATGGTAACCTAATATTTTTTTACAAGTTTTTATGGATTAATATTAAAAAGATTTGAGAACCTACTCATGAATCCACATTTATCTGGCCTAAGAAAACCCAAACAACCTTTAAAAGATCAAAAAACATCTCATTTGGCTCAAGTTATCATACTTGAGCCCAATTTTAACCAAGGCGCATATGTTAGGTGTATGCCCGAGCTCGGGCATGGAATCTTAAGCCCACCATTTGAACATATACCCAACATCCTAGGCATGACATGCTTAGCCTTGATGGGCATGCACCCAGCATCCTTATGAGCTCGGGCTACCATACCCAAGCCCAATATATTTGGATCTAAGTAGAGTGTCTAGATCTATTTTTCATTTCTAATGGACTCCGACACCTTGCTTGAGCCTACCATTCCCTTATAATTTTTTTAAGACCCCGTATAAGTTTTTTAGTGTTTTATATTAATTCAATACATATTATTTTGAGTATAAGACAACTCAAAATATTATAAAAATAAAATTACACTTCAACCTCTACTTCGTAAAATGACAAAACTCATGAGTTATAAATATACTATAAATTTTTTAAACTTAAGGTTCATAATTTCTTGAGTATTTATATTTTTAGAGTTTATTTTTTTAAAATACTATTACACCTTTTCTTTTTATAAAATTACTTATTTAAACACTGGAAAATATAATTATTAAAAAGGATTTTTTATAGATATAAATTATCAGCTACATTGGTTTACATACCTGCTAATAGCTGCCAACTATCCATTTTTGGAGGTATCCATTTTATCCTTGATCAATAAAATTTCCAATACACAGGACGTCAAGAACTTCATAGCAAACTGAAAAAATGAAGTCCAAGCAAGGTAATGAATGCTCTGGAGCACTGCCAGACAACATGAAAGAAACAGCACCAACCGGAACCAGGTCAGTCCCTTGGGGCCGGCAAAATCCAGGGCTAAAATGCCGTGTTGCAATTCCTGCCATGCCACTTTTCCTTGTGGCATGGATCATTCCTCACTGCTCCATCCGTAGGTAATCATTTTTTTTCTTTGAAGCAAATTGTTAAGAAGGTTTTTTTTTTTTTTTTTGGTTGCTTTCAATGGACCATCGAGTTTCTTTACCACCAAAAGTTTTCTAGGGGTTTGTTACACGCTTTTCCAAAACTTATTGTAGAGTAATTAACCAGAATTTTGCATTGTAGTTGAAGTGAAAAGAATATCAATTAACGTGAGATCATCCACATCAAACTTGATTCTATTTAATTCATATTTAATTCAATAATTAAATTCTTGTCTATATATTAGTAACTACTATTGCCAGATAAGCCTTCTTGGACTTGACTGGGATATGATGAATTAAAACATGATTTTTTTTTTTAAAATATAGATTATCAACTTAACTCCATTCATCTAATTTTTAATATAAATCCCTGTTTATATATGTGATAATGGTGTGTTTAAACTCGGTTTAACTTGAAAAAAGATTTTTTTTATGTTTTTTCAAGCTAAATACAATTTAAATCGCATGAACAATTGTAACCTAAATCTCGAACCGGGTCATCCCAGTTCGGTTCCTATAAATATGCTAATAACAACGTAATCGACAGTAATGAGTTTGGTGTCGATTGTGAGGAAAGTCTTCTTCCTTGAACTTGTCGTGTTACTCATCATCAAACAATCTCCTTCTTTATCCTCTTTATATTGTTTCCCACTAAACACAATCACTCCTTCAGTGGAGTTGTCATATATATTTATATATAACAGCTCTAGTCATTTAGTGGGTCGTTGTCATATAGCCAAAGGAAGCATCTTTTTTCAATGGATTCTCAAGTTATGGTAGCTTTGGCTCTCTCTCTTGTGGGTGGCTTAAGCACTTCTATAGGTAAGTTATGCATAAAAGCTTGCAACTTTTTGTGTTTTTCTATGATGGGTTATTCAAAAAGAAACATCTTTTTGTGTTTTTACTTGTGGAGTGATTTCTTGAATCTGAATTATAAACAAGGAGAAATTTAAAAGTTTAGGGATGTTAATGTAGAAGTTGATTGAGAGTTTCTGGTTATGTATAATGAAGACTAGTGATTGAGCTAGTAAGGAATACTTCAGAACTTGCGAATGGAGTTAGTTGACAATGATTTTTTGAATATCAAGTTAAAGAAACAAAACCAATTAGTCTTAATTTCTGTCGAACCTTATAAAGTTAGCTAGTTTACTAAGATTAGTGTAAGCAGCTTATATGGAGAGAGGCAGTAGTTGATTAGTACGATTCAGGAAGAGACAAGTTGGGCAGCGGATTTTCTGTTTTTTGCACAATATAAGTGAGGGAACTCTCAATTCAGTTCAGTGTGTTGCTCTATAGAATGATAAAAAGTTCGTGGACGGTGGTATAACAATTATCAACTTATTATCTCCATTTATCGAATCACCTTAAGTGACCATCTCCTTCTCTCTATATTTTGTTTCGTTTTGAAGGCTGCGTGTGTATATGTTTGGAGTCTATAATAGTCCAAAACCAAAAGCTATATATATATATATATAGAAGTTAATTATTGAGGATGCTTTTGAACTGTTGAATGGAGGGATTCTTTTTTTCAGTAAGATGATCATCAAGGAATGGACAATGATTTTTTTATTGTATTAAATAAATAAATTCATTAGCCTGATTCGTAATTTCCCGACAGGTTACAAAACAATACTCAAGCTTCTATTGAAACTGGTTATTACCTAATTTACTTAGTCTAGTCTAAGCAGCTCATACAGGGAGAGGAAGTAACTGACAAGTGTGGGACAGTAAGAGATATGTTGAGGCGAACTTTCTATTTTCACCCAGTATAAGTGAGGGAATAATCTGTTCATCAAATGCTGCACAAGAGGACAATTGAAAGTTAGGTTGACTGTATAGAATGCAGCGGTAGGAACGATCAACTTATTTTCTCCTTTTATTGAATCACCTTATGAAACCATCTCATTCTTTTTATATTCCTTTCTGGTGTATGCAGATGCATGTAAGCCATAGTAGTAATACTCAGCATAGAATACACCTCCCAAGTCCCAACACTCATATTTTTCCATATTATCAACATTTTGGTCCAAGTGAGAGTATCTCCATGGACAGTTTCATGATGATCGTGCTTGGTGTTTCTGTTTCGGGTGGTTTGAGTACGTCATTGGGTTAGCTAATAACACTTGTTTACATGATATGGCATGAAATTCAAATATTACTACTGACTAATATTTTTACCACTCAAGTTTTGATTATTTTGCTTTGGTAGTAACTATAGTTGCGTTTGGCTACTCGCCGACTTTGTGCATGGACACTGGTTCCTATATGGTTTCACACATTTGAATGAAAGGAAAAATAATACTACTATTGAAGGTTTAGGTAGTGTGTTTTTTGGTGTTGAGGTTTTGCTGGGATCAAGAATCTCTTCAGTTGAGTTGTAATGATCATT